GGGGGAACGTCAGGAATTGGAGTGGGAAAGTTGGGATCGAGGCGAGGGGGAGTGGGGAAGCGCAACGGGGGGAAATCGAGGACAGGTTGGGGAGAGTCGGGGAAGAAGCGGGTTCAAAGTCGGGATGGAGGTGGTGAGGGGAAGGGGATCGCGATCGCAATTAAGCGCGATCCAGGCAGAGTTGGGATCGGGGTGAGGCGGGAAAGTGTTGGGATTGGGTCGCGGGAGGGATTGCGCGGGGAGGAATCGGGGTCGGATGGGAGGAGTGGGGGGAAACGTCAGGAATTGGAGTGGGAAAGTTGGGATCGAAGGGGGGGGGAGTGGGGAAGCGCAGCGGGGGGAAATCGAGGACAGGTTGGGGAGAGTCGGGGAAGAAGCGGGTTCAAAGTTGGGATGGAGGTGGTGGGGAGACGGGGATCACGATCGCAATTAAGCGCGATCCAGGCAGAGTTGGGATCGGGGTGAGGCGGGAAAGTGTCAGGATTGGGTCGCGGGTGGGATCGTGCGAAGAGAAGGTCGAGGGGTGGTGTGGGAAGATCAGGGTTGAGCCTAGGGGAAGCAGGGCAGTCGCTTGAACATGCGCGCAAGGGGGAATCGGGGTCGGACGGGGTTGGAATCGGCAGCAGGGAAACCTGGAATCGGGATCGGCAGAGGTGAAGGAGGTGGGCGGGGAATGTGGCTAAGTGGGGAAGGAAGCAGGACGAGTAGAGGGGGGGAAGGAAGCGGAGTGCCGAGGGGATAATCGGGAGGGAAATTGCGGGGGGAGAGGAAATCGAAGTGGGGGGGGGGGCAAACACGATCGGGAAGGGGGGACGGGGTGGGGAGGAGGGCGGGGGGATGGGAGGGGGGGGCGGAACGGGGGGGGGGGGGGGGGGGGGGGGGGGGGGGGGGGGGGGGGGCGAGTCGGGGTAAGATCAGGGAAGTCGGGATTGGAGGGAAAAAGGAGAAAGGGGGGAAGTATGTGACGACGTGGTGGGAAATCGCCAGTCCACGTGTCAATGATCCTTCCGCAAACTCACCTACAAGGACCTTGTTACGACTTCTCCGTCCTCCAATGATAAGGTTCAATGGACTTCTCATAGCACCGCCAGCTGCAGGTCGTCGAGGTGGCTGCAATCCAAACACTTCATCGAGCATCCTGTAGGAAAACAGCAGCAGCTGGAGTAGCTCCAGCGTCGAGAAAAGGTGCCAGCTTGGGTGACGAGCGTATCTGGTCGCGTTGATGGACCAAGCGCGGCTGCAAGAACGGACTTGGCGATAGCTATCCATGATGGCAGGATAGCAAGGGAGGGAGGGAGGGAGGGAGCAGAGGTTCGGGAATCTTCTCCGATACCAATCTGACATCGAGCAGAGGGCACGTGTGGAGATGGTGAGAGAGAGAGGAAGGAGATGGACACACACACGAAAAGCAGCAGCTGAGTGAAGGTCCAGTCCGCATCAATGAATGAACGAACGAGTGAAAGAGTGACCAACCTGGCCTGGGCCTAGGCCGGAGAGATATACCGGCCTTGGTCCAGGCCGGAGTAACCCGGTATCGGGCCGGGGTCAGGCCGACGGCCTGAAACAGGTCCGGCCTCACTACCGGGCCGAAAGGGTACCGCTACATGGAAGGCACTCAGAGAGTCAATGACCTATATCACAGACGACGAGATCAAGACATGTAAGGATACACTTCTTGACCCGCGGTGAAAGATTGCGGACGTGGACACACGGTACAACCTCAAATGGAGCCTCTGACCACCCAGGGATCGCCTGTGGCCCCTAAGGCCAGCCAGGGACTTCACAATTCCCCCAAAGACCCCTCCGCTAGTATTGCTGCCCCAAGGTGAGGGGTGGGACACATACATCGCCAATGGCACTCTGCAACCGGTGTCGGAGGGTGCGGTGTCCCGACCCTCCTCCGTGTACCAAGTCCCTACTTGGTACCACTCTTAGTTTTAGTGTTGCGATCTGAAGCTACTCCCGAAACACTATGACACTTGGTACCTGGGCTATACCATGATGTGGACCGGTCCTTCTTGGTGCTTGCCTCAGTAAAAAGGTGCGCCGCAGGACTTTCCATTGGTCCACACAGGCTCGGCGCCCTGCTGTATAGCAGAGCACAACCAGCCTGTGGCCGTGGTAGCCGCCGGACTCGCCCTGGGACGCGAAAGTAGAGGGATAGGTGTTGTCTTTTCTATTATGCACCAAGCGCCCCTCTACAGGGTTATGGGTCAGGTGCATGACACTGGCAACAGTTAGAGAAACATAAGGCTAAACAAAAAGCAGCAAGAAAAGAAAAATGGAAGAGAAAACCAAAGGTCTAGTTAACGCGGTAGGACCCCGGTAGTTGTACTGCAGGGCAGACACAGTAGGCCTGAAAAAGGGAAGTGTGAAAAAGAAAGAAAAGGGGGTAAGGATGAAAATCGGGTTTTGAGTTTGTGCGTGGGCTTGCACCGCTATTCAAGCGAAGCTATGGCGCGAAGGAAATTTGAAGCGTCATCCTTTCTTTCCACATTTATTATTATTGTTATTATTATTATTATTATTATTATTATCATTATTACCTTACCGGTTTTCAAGCGAGGCCTTCCTTTTCCCTTTTGTCATTTCGCGGGAAGGCCAACGGTCTGAATTTGGAGCTGTAGTCCGAGTTGGCCTGCCCCGCTTATTCCGTCTGAGAATGAGCGTAGACTGAGTGTCGCGCGGTTAGACCCCAAAAGAAGGGCGACCCGCGGCCGCATTGGTAGGGAACCTATCACCCCCGAAAAAGGGTCATAAGCCCCCTCCTTGCCATCGGACACGGGTACCCGATGGGGATAGGCCGAAGTTGTATTTTAAAAGGGGGGAATGTGATCGCCGGTATCCCATTATGGGACCATCACCTCAGAATAGCAGTCACCCTTTAGTGAGACGAAGCGACTGAGACCGATAGCAGAAGGCCTGTGGATATCGCGGCCATAAGTTCTTTTCTTTTCTTTCCTTTCTTTGGTTTTCTTTTATGAAAAATCACAGTTTTAAAATTATTTTGTTTACTTCCGAATTTTTACTGAGCCTTGAAGCTTTTCGTTTAGAGCACATCGGGGTCGCACTCGCCTGTAGCTCTATAAAACAGAGGCTGCCCCTGGATCTTGAGGCAAATACGTGAGGGGAGTGTTATCACTCCTCGAGTGTGAGTAGTGGTATTGTGCGGGAGCCTTGATTCCAGACACTCTGGACTCAGCTTGGCTAAGTACTTTTGCGAACACGGATAGTGCGGACTGGGCACTGGCGCTGGCTATTGACAAAGAGTGGCTATGGCGCTGCATGGGTACAGGCCCGGGTACTGGTATCACCAGGCCCGTTGGAGGCCCGTGTCTGGGGAATGGCCCTGGATTACCGTCATACTCAATTACGACGATGGAGATGAAGTGCTATTGAAGATCAACGTGGAGGGAGCAAGAGAGGGAGAGATGCGGACTAACCCGAAGCTGCAGGACGCGATTTCGGAGGCGAGAGACCGAGCGAAGAGACACTGTAGACGGGACGGAGTGACGGCAAGGCTACGGATAACGGTGGCTTACCACGAGACTGAGACCTCGATGGACACAGCGGACCTGGAACAGGTCCACCAGGACAGAGACTCGGGAGGGGAAAGTGAGATCAGTGACGCAGACCGGGAGACGGATTTCAAGTCATGGAACAGACCAGGCGAGATCCAGAGGCATCACCGCGCCGTGAAGTCGGTGGAGGAGGGACCCGAGGCCAGCTCGAGGCAACTGACGCCCAGAGACCGCGGGGCGGGAGAGAAGGATAACAAGGGAAAAGACACGTGTAAGGGGGACACACGAGAGAGAGAGAGGTCAACGAGGGGAGAGACTGACAATCGTGGGGCGGTTACGAGAGCGTGCGAGACGTGGCCTGGTGAGTGAGAGAAGAGTCAGCGGAGGGAGCGACTGTGTGAGCGAAGCAGGACGTGAGCTTGGAGAGTGCGGTTGATGTCAACTGCTTCTCGCACACTCGCGTGACGTGCCTGCACCTGTACGCCAGTCGTTGCTCGTATGCTCGCGAGACGTAACTGCAGCTGCAACAATGACAAAAAGATAAGGGAAAAAGGGGGAACCTGCCCGAACAACATGAGAAGTATCCGTTAAGAGAGGCTAGTCTGCAGGGCGTGGTATACGTTGCTACTCGATCTGCTTGCTGCGTGCTGAGCACGGTCTCTCCCTGTCTTGGACATGGATCAACAGCTTTTCACTTGTGCGTGGGCTGTAATTACCTGCTAATTGGTGAGTGACCAGTGAGAAGCTGAGTTGGTGCCTGCGTAAACAGGGGGAGGCTCGATGCATCTACTATAATCGGTGTATGCGTGATCTGTTTTGGCTACGAGCTAGTTGCGGAGGAAGTCGTGAGGGAATAGACAAGAAAGGAGGCTCGGACTTTTGAGTAGTATTCTTGGTGATGTCACCCTTCTCCTACTAATTGGTGTGGGATTTTTGAGATTGGAGTCTGCGACCTATGGCTTGAGGGCAAGGGTCCAGAACGAAGAAAAAAAAAAAAGAAAAAAAAAAGGGGGAGGACGAAGTAAAATAAAAGAGAGTGAGCGCGTTAGCAGCAGAAGTTAGTCGCTACTTACTCGCGCTGATGATAATCGTTCCATGGTAAGCGATCATTAGCATCATCACGGGGCTGATCTGAGAGTCGGAATATGGTTTCTTCTCGCCATCAATAGTGACATGCCAAGAGAAGGTAGGTGAGTAACGAGACCAAGAGAAAATTCGCGAAGGAGAACTGAGGACACTGCAGTGTGCCGTCGATAGCTTTTGTTGACATCAGYAGCTAAGTCCCTGTGTCGTTGTCTTCACCCCCAGCAAGGAGCGTATCTGGAACGTTCCTCTGGGTTAACTGAGCAGCATAATCCCTTGAGTAGGAGGRGACCGTGTTCTCTTCCTCACGCTACGYGTGTGTTCARTGTGATGACTCMTGCTACTGCACGAATGTAAGATAGAAAAGTCCAAGCAAAAGTCARATATATCCTAAGAGGAGCTCRAATAGTCTTGGGGTCGAGGRTCTGAGATAGCTGAATTGGGGTCTTGATCATTACTTACTATCTGGAGCRAACGAAGACGTWYGCCATCTTCGACCAAGCAGAATAGGTTGTGACCGGATAAGCAGCTGGTCTACCGTGCGTTTGTTCAATTTTTGGCCAGATAAGTTTCTGAGGCATGAAAAGGATAAGTAATTGATGGTTGACGTCACCCTCATCCTTGCTTGGTAACTTGGTGACAACTACCTAGTTAATTGAGCTTGTTGGTCAGGGACAAGAGCTAAATAATGTTTGATTGTATATAAATTCACTCTCTAATGTTTGCACTCCCTGTCAAAGCATTAGCACAAGAAAACTCCATCCCCTTCGCTCAGTGTTCTAATCCTTGTGGTTGTGAGAGTCAGGACGTAGTGACTGTCTTATGGTTTACTAACACTTTAGTGTCAGTAGAAACAAAAAGATCGGGGCGAAGAACTCGTGAGTTTACTAACGAAGCGAGTATCATTAAATAGAGTCAAGTGAAACAAAAAATGAATAAGACGATGCCCTGATCATCACCCCTGGTTTCCGTGCTGATAATCAACTCCTGAAGTCTTGATTGAATAACGGGAGCATTGAGCAGAATGAGGGGAAAAAGGAGATTGACAATTTTGGAACAAGAAACAATACAAAATAAGTTTTGGATCTTTGTGATGCTTTCTGACTTCGTTTGTAATTTCCAGCGATGATTGTCTAAGAGCCTTGCTTTCATGCTGAGAGTGTGGGCTTGACAGGGGTTGGGAGCATAAGTGCAGATAGAACTTCAGTCTATCTCCTCACCCCTCGCAGACAGTCGTGCGAGCGTACGGTCTCACGAGTTTCTATACTCTGGTGTGGCCGAAAGCATGTATGAGTAAACGAACTTGCATGTTCTCTTGATCTGTGATCCTAATAAGTACTTGAATGAGTGAACGAGCGTTCAATTGGGCACGTTCGCGGATACAACGATTATGCGGTACGTGGTCACTCTAGGGGATCTTGTGCAGCCACGTAGAGCCTGTGGTTTTTAGAGTTGCATTATCTCTCGAGTCAACGAAAGTGCGAATGGCCGGGGGAAATGCAAATCACCGATGAGATTACGTGATCTTACCAAATACAGTAAATGTATGAGAGCATGGTAATCTGGAATGTTGCTGTCAAGTGATGAGTCATAAGGGAAGGAGTCAACTGCTGAGAAAAGTGGCTTACTTGATAGCAAGGTTTTTGCTCGACGGAGATTAGCTATGAGTAACTAGGATGGATAATGCTCTTAAGGACTGTTTCGAGTGTCGCTCTGCATAGCCCTTGCGTGGATCCTTGAACGCGAACCACTACCTGCAGTAATTCTTGTATTGCTCGGATGGAGATCACCTTCCTTCCGCGGTAATCCGAAAACTAATCAAGCAGAACCTGTGACTCACGACACATAGTAACCGGGGCCTTCACTAACGATACTGTGTATTCCTTTTACAAGAAAGGACCGTCTCCAGACTCTCTGTTCAACATTTTAAATTATGAGGCCTAGGAGTAACGGTGTAGAGATAAACATCACTACCGATAAGTAACGAACAAGCAAATTGTCATGCTCTAACTTTTACAAACGCGGCCTGGACGGGCAGACATATCCCGAACGAGCCCCTCGTGTACTGAACCGATCGGACGCAGGGGTCCTTCGACATGTACCTTAACCCACTTAACTACTCGTTGCCAATTGCAGTTTCCTTTAGCCTGATTAGAACCGCCGAGTTTTAGCCTTGGAACAGTCCCCTGTTTCAAAGCCTTTTGTTAATCATGCTCGGAGGACACCTGTGGCCACTTGATCATGCAGTACTACTTGGGAAAATGTTCAGTAAGTTATTGAACGTGGAAACAAACTGAGTATAGTACTAGCTTGTCCACCCCATGAACTAGGAAAGAGTAATTGTCTGACATCACCTCATAATCGAACCTGAAGTGGGACCCTAAGCATCGCCAGACCGGTATGAGTTGCCCTGGGGCTTTTACGATTCACAGTTACCAGAAGTGTTGCAGTAGACAGATGTCGGCCCCGAGCACGAGTCAACTGATAAGAGGAGCGGTAATCCAACCATGGGGAAAACTATGTGCAACCATCTCATCCGTGGGCTCCGTTGAGGAGGTAAGGAGAGCAGTCTGTGGGTGCTAATAAGAGAAAACCAGTCTATTATTCCTTGGGCAAACGAATAAATATTAAATAGAGAAACTGAACCAGACTTGAGACTAGTCCTAGTCAAACATACGGCAAGCCAACAAGAGACGAAAAGCAACAAACTATTGTAACCTGATCAGCAACTAGACAACTATCAAACACCATCCAGTCTGCGCACAAATTACTTCATACTAGAGGATGACTACTTACCTAGAATTCGAGGCTTACAGCTGTGTGATCTAAGTGTAAAAAAAAAAAGGGGGAAACATGAAGGACGATAAGATCTTAGTGGTGAAGAGCACACTAATCTGGGAAAAAAAAGAGGAATGGGAAGAAGTGTGTAAAGACATGGAAACCCACTGGGAAATGCAGAGAGAGCATGCAGTCGGAATAGCAGGTGAGAAGAAATACATCGAATACATAATCTATTTCTGCGGGCCTGACAACAAACTACACAGTACCAGTTCCATGCTAGAGAGTATGGAAGAGGCGAGGGCAAGACTTGTATGAGTTCTGCATCACTCTAAACACCGCGCAATGGTACACGCGAAATTCTATCAACTTCTAGTGGCAACCGATTGAAACCTTCACGTGCAGCAAGGTAATATAGTGAGTCACAACTTGGAGACAATATTCAGACAATACTCAAACAAATGTTTAGGCAGTATTCAGAGCGGTGCTCGGGAAAATACTCAACACTCAACAACAGTCAGTCCTCGGTTAGTAACTTTCAGCAGCTTTGGGGTTCAAGCAGCTTCTGAATCTGCAATCAATCAGTTTCTTTTAGATCAGCAATTCGTCTGTTTTATAATCAGCAATCGATAAGTGTTTTTTTCAGACCAGGAAGTCATTCGTCATTCAGTTCTCAATTTGCAAATAATCATCAAGTCAGTCAACATCAGATCAGCAAGCAGTCAGAAGAGTAATCAGATCAGCAAACAGTGAAGAGGGTAATCATACCAAGCAATCTGACCAACAAACATTCAGACAAACAATTAGATCAATGCAATCAGGCTAGAGATTAGCCCACTTATCCAGACATTCAACAATCAATTCAGCAACCAGTTCAATAACCAGATCAGTGATCAAGTCATTGATAATCAGCAAACGGCAAACACCACATTCATGAGTACGGTCCAATCATTCCTGGTCAGCGAGTCAGTGCTGACCAATCTCAATCAGTTTTCACATAAGGAGGCTATTCGTTACCAGTATGTCAATGCCATCGGCTTCAAACAGGGAGACCTGTCAATCTTCGTTGTCCAGACCAGCTTTGCTGATGGTACTATCCATGACCTGAGGCCATACCTAAAGAAGGGCAAGGAGACTCATGAGCATTTCGATCCAGTCTGGATCTCAGCCACCAAATACCTCGAGCAGAAAGAGAGGGAGCTCGATGAGAGTGGCACTCCGCTGATCCACAACTTTGGGTCAAAACTTTATACTGACTATCCCAGGCCTCATGTTCCTTCCATCCTCACAGATGGCACGAGTTGGCTTGATATGATCGGCTTGGCAAAGAGGTATATCTCTCCAGCGGTGATCAACATTGAGGCACTGACTGAGCCCACCGAGTATCCCTACCTCAAACGAGGAGTCTTTTCAGTGGACGGACTACCTACATTGTGGGAGGAGTTTTGCTCCATGGTTAACTTCCGTGTCATGTACCTCGGATGGTCATGCTCAGAGCTT